CCATGTTTCGCTAAGCATGACCACGTCAAAACCATATCTTTGAATGACGAGGAGTAGCTCGTCGAATGTTGATGTCATACACTGCGTGTTGGTGTGCATAAAAGAAAGTTGTTTTTGTCTCGCAATGAGAGCATCGAAGTGGTGGTCGGAATTCCAATGCAAATCACTCGCAGCATCATCTGTCATGTCCAGAGCGACTAGATCTTTTACTTTAAAGAAGGGAAGCTCAGATAATGTACAAGTACTACATGTCCAAATGCCAGGCTGGTTAACTTTGATGATTTTATGGAAACTGGCGTTGCTGTTTGGAAACGCTTAGGGCATCGTTTCCAAACCAAGGAATTGATACATTCATTTGAGTTTTGAGTGTGTCCTGGCAGACACCTCTTCAAAAGCTTTTCATCTGATAAGCGGACGTACACATGCTCCAAGTGTTCTACAAAGACAGGATCAAGATGGTGGCCCTTGTTTTCAATTGGTTTCCCAGTTCTTTTGTAAGAGCACCATGAGTTTGAGGGACAATACTTATGCCTCTCTTTATCTGGCAACTTGCAGCTGTGGTATAAGCCAGCTTTGATCTCATTTTGCATTGCCTTTATTGCTCTTTCTGTCTCTTCAGTTGTCAGTTCACCATTCTTAGCATTATTCCTAATTGCTCTTCCATAGTACTCTTGCAATTTTTCAATTGCTGGTTTTGTCAAACGACCAGGTCTGCCACCCACTGGCTTCCCATCTGGTAGCTTTCCTTTCTGTTGTTGGACATCTCTTAATGCTTTTCCCATCCTTTTTTGCACATGTCCCACACAGTCTAATTTTACAACTCTGTGACACCCAGCTTCTTCTGACAGGTGGTCCTTTTCCCATTGTTTATATGCCAAGGAGTTTTTCCACTTTGTGTAATCAGATGATGATTTCTCCATTCGTTCATACTTGTCGCAGTCACTACACACCCCATAAACATCCCATACTGAATTGTATGCCTTTGAATCTCCATCAGAAACCATAAAGCGGTATTCCAAGCCATGGTCCCTGCTTCTGTTCCATATTTTACACGCACATTCAGTTTCCATGCTTGGACTTGAACCCTCATATCCCCCAACACAGTCATGATCTCTTCTCCATAGCTCAAATTCCTCCTGAGAAAGCCTTTTCTCGTTTATTCTGCATGCACTGCATGCCTTGGAAACAACTGAATAATCCAGAACTTTGCAAGTATCAGTCAAGATCACAAATCCAACCCCATGGTTAGATGTAAACCCTCTTTTGGCCCAGGTTCCATCAAAGCTAACTGATACTGGGAGATTACACTGATGAGATTGACTGCTGCCCCTTTGAAAAAGTTCTTTTAGTTCACATAGATTTTTCTCTAGTTCTTCATTAATGACAACAAGATTTTGCTTGTACAGTTTATCTTCAAGAGAGGCCCAAGCAGTTGGGGCCACAGGGGGAGGCATATTTAGTGCTTCGCATATAGCAGCAATGCCCTCTCTGCCAAGCCCTACCTCATTTGCTGCAAAGACCGACCTCCTGTTGATGTCCTTTCCCTGCATGGTTCGAGGTACTTTATCACTGACATTGTGTTTGCCAGTGCTAAAGAACTGTGACAGCTCACAGGTATCACACTCAACATAGAGTGTACTGCATAGGCCATAACCATTCAAAGGGTCTTCAAGAATATGCACTGTACCTAAAAATGGATATATAAAACTATTTTAGCAATAAAATCTAGTCTGAAAATTTCCAACTCAAACAATAATAAATTCAAACGACTGAAACTGTGAGTAGCTAAAACATTCAAGTTTTTATTTGCTAACTTGAACAATTTCTGCTGAATGGATGAACTCTTTGAATTAAATCTTTTAGACTGCCCATGTCCACGAAACGGTATCCTTCGGCTCTTTTCGCTTCTTTGAATTCATATTCTTCGGAGGAGGACGATTCAATGTCCTTTATTTTTTGTTTCCATGAAGACTTAGGAAGGGGTTTCTCTGAACAATCACTGTCGCTTCCGACATCACAATCACTCTTAAATGAAAAATCTTATTTTAAGAAATAAATTTCTTAAAACAAATCTCCAGTAAAGAAATTTGGTTTTGTTAAATTAAATTTCTTATTTTAAGAGTAATTCTTATTTTAAGAAACAGTTTCTGACTTTAAGATTCCTTATTAAAATCCTTAATTTAAGAAGGAACGCTCTTATTTTAAGAAAAGATTATTCTTATTTTCAAGAACAGTTCAAGAATATTGTTTCCTTAAAATTAATTCTCATTTTAAGAGTACTTTTCTCATTTCACGTAAATATATCAAGAAGTATTTCAAGAAGTCCTGTTACTTTCGCTATTTTGGACAAGATGAAATCCATTTACAGGTCTCTTCGATGGTGCTTAGTGTGAAGCTAACCACCAAAGCTTTGAGGCCAGTGACAGTGTCCATTAAACACCCGTGGATGTAGTATCACATATATTTAAGTCTGGCAATACCAACACTGTACTTATTAGTAGAAAAATACAACTCTCAATGCAAAGCAATACTCATCAAACTCAGTTGTTTATTTGTAATCCAGCTAGACATTGGATTCACAACAGGACATTAAACTCTATCATAATTGCTTAATAACCACTCTTTTCTACGTGGAGAAATAATCACCTAATTACAACGGCCACTTTCCATTCAACCAAATACTCCTGAAATCAGTCCACAAACAAGTTTTTGAAATTTCAGGATACGTCTTGAGGTTGTCCCAATGCTCCAGAATTTTAAAGTGGAGTTTATGGTCAAATGGAAAGCACACAATGTATGCTACCAAATACCATTATTTATCATGCTCTAACAACTAGAGTCACATTAAGTAAACTAAAGATTATTTAAATTCAAA